AGACAGACAGACAGACAGACAGACAGACAGACAGACAGACAGACAGACAGACAGAGGCTTAAAAGAAGACACGAAGAGCGAATCCAAAAGAGCCAGGTAGTCACACAGAAAGCGTGGGACCGAGACATGAAGAGAAAGGGCGATGGGACGTAGAAAGCCCAGAAAGAGAGTGGAGTTGCTTCAAAAAAATAAATGTATTTGGTGCCATTTTAATTGTGGAATTATTTTTGTGCCAACTAAACCTGATCTTACTTTATAACTACTGTGAGGCCTTCCTTCCTGCAGACAACAGAACACAAAGTTCACCTCATGTTTAATAATAATTATAATAGATATAATTTGTATAGCGCAAATCCCTGCTCAACAGCAAGCTCTAGGCGCTTCACAATCTATACCATTACCCCAGCAGACCTGAGAGCATTCTGAAATAACCTCAACTTCTTGGGAAGCATGCAGTGAAAGCGGCCATTTATAGGCGCTAAAACACTAACATGCTGACAAGATCTTTCGCTGTCTATGGCCGGGTACCCATTTCCACCTGGGTGAAGTGAGGAAAATTTGTGTAAAGTGCCTTTCCCAAAGACACAACGTCAGGCCCGCGGCTCGAACCCCCGAACCCGCAACCTCACAACCACTAAGCCACCGACGTCATTAAGGATAGATGTTTGAGGATAGAGAGGCACCATGACCGATAACGGTCATTTAGTGCAGTGAAAAAACAAGGCAAGACAGACTGAAACAATACATGTAGTTTTTAGTTTTAGTAAGTGTTTTACGGCACTGGCAACACAATAAGGTCATATTATTAGAGGTGTTACAAGAGAGGAAACAAACACAGAAAAAGGAGGAGGGGAGACAAGGGCGATAGATGTTTCATAGGAAAGAAAAAGAAGAAGCAAACCACTTCAGAGCACCTGCCAACCACCAACTGAATCTATAGAGGGGAAGAAAAGAAAGTATACCTGCCGTGGTGCCCTCCAACCACTAACAATGTGGGTGGTTGGCGGGTGCTCTGCTGTGGTTTGCTTCTTCTTTCCAATCAAACATCTATCGTCTTTAC